TCGGCCTGGTCAGTGAGGGGCGTCGTTGAGTGGAACTCAATGCCTGAGGAGGTTAGACAGCTCACCACTTACAAGGCCTTTACGAAAAAATTGAAAAATTGGTACATTAACATGTACGTCTGCCAACATTAAAAGCTGAGCATGTTATGCTGTATTGTATATCTAACGTATCCTTTTAAACAAGTGTTTTTGTGTGTTTTTATATTGTAATCAGGTACTGTGTGCCTTTAGTTATTATACAGTGTCATTTATATCTTATATTGTTGTTATTGATGTGTCAAAGAATTGTCATGTTTTATCATGCTTGTATTTTAATGCCTTTTTACATCTTGGCCAGGGGACTACAGATGAAAAATAGCCTTCTGGCTAATTCTGGCTTTTTTAACCATGTTTGTTCATGTTACACAATAGACTTACCAAATGGGACAGTGAGACGCAATCGTTTACATTTGATTCCTTTGCATGAAAAGTCTGAGAATAAGCAGAGTGTGTCAGATGTGCCGATGGAACATGTGTCCAAAACAATGAGTGAAACCCCAGTTACTCCTGTAAACACTGATGTTGTGAGAACTAGATCAGGGAGAGTAATTGTTCAACCTAAAAGGCTAGACCTATGAGGAATGTTTATAGTTTACACTATAGTTCTTAATTTCTTAACTGTTGTATTAAGCTTTATGTTTAATAAGTGAAGCGCAAAGTTTAAATGTTACATGGTAGATCATAGGGAAATTTAAATGTTCTATTGCATAATTATATATGTATAATATGTGAAAGGGAAACAAACTTGAATATGCACGGTAAAAAAAAAGAGGAAAAAAAAGTATTTTCTTTGTTTTTGTGAAAGGGGAGATGTGGTGTATTCTGTAATGTAACAGTATCATCCTGTTTCACTAATGATCTTTGTTGACGCCCCTGACGTAACACGCGCTGTTTATTATTCAGACTGTTGAGTAAAGCCTCATGTTAACAGCACACAGTTGTCCCACGTATTTTTGTTCAACAACTGGGATGGGCACTCCAGGGCCCTGCCAACTTAATTCCATCCCAGTATGATACTTCCTTTACAACGGCCACTTTGAGTCGTTTTAAAAGTTCACTTTTGAAACAACTCAAAGTGGGATGGAATTAAGTTGGCAGGGCCCTGGAGTGCCCATCCCAGTTTGGTATGTATTGCCAACGGGCCACCAGGGGGACCCACCATCACAGGTTCAGTTGCTGTGATATAATCTAACCCTATCAGTAAAAGAGGACGTACATGATCGATAGGTTGCAGTGGAATGTTGTTTAGGTAACAAAACTGTTCTTGCAGCTGTTTCACTGGATAGGTGTGCTCTGACAGCCCAAGATTATCTGCTGTAAATGCCCCTTGAATGTCATATCTGTTATTGATCTGATCTGCAGGGTAAATCACAAAAGAGACTGAAGCACCATTAACCTGCAGTACTTCTTGCAGTACGCAACAAAATAGTCTCGGGTTAAGAGGTGAGACCTAAATGCTGGACAGCCTCATGGAGAATGATAGATCTATCTGCACCATCGTCTAACACAGCGTAGGTGTCATAGGATCTTGAACCATTGTAGAGGCGTACTTTGACTACTTTTAACATAATCTTTTGGGAACGATTAGGTTTATCAAGATAAAGATGTTCTTGTGGGGATGTGAGCATTATTGTGGTCTTTCTGATGGTATTAGCATCATGGAGAATAGTCAAATGCAGTTCATTCTGTAAGTGGTACATGGCTTCTTCAATGTACATGTGTCCTGCTTATGAGTCCGCCCACATCTACAGCATCTGTCCTTCTCATTGACCCATTTCATCATGTCATTCCTTGTGAGTTTTTTGAAATCTTCACAAGCACCAAGAAAGTGGTCCCTAATATTGCAGTATGGACAATAGGGCTTAGGTTTATTTACCTTTGTAGCCTCACCACTGTTGATAGGGATTTCCGTCTTGCTGGGTAACATACGGCCCGCTGTGGTGGACATGTAGACTGAGAGTAGATATATAAGACACCAGTATTGAGCAAGTGGAGAAAAGGTGGTACTGCACCCTAAAACTCCCCAGAAAGGGGACGGCGCTCTTGAGCAAGTGGTGAAAGGTGTTACTGCACGGTATTTTTCAAAGAGTTTTAATGAGTTAGATTCTGTTGACCCTGTGTGTGTGTGATAAAGTAAATGCTTCACAGTTGTCTAAAGTGATTTATGATCACGGTTTATTCTAAAACAGTTAGGAATAGCTAAGCTGCAGGGGAGGACCTGTTAACGACACTTAGGTGTATGTGTGTGATAGCCTTATCATGATGACGGTTTGGAGGGAGTACTAACAACAAATCAGATGAGAGGTTAGTGTTGGAGAGAGTGAGTTGGTGAGAGAGAGGGAGTTAGTGTGCGAGAGGTGAGTTTGTGTGAGGAGGAGTTTGTGGAGAGAGTGAGTTGGTCTTTGTCCTTATGTGAGAGAGAGGTTAGTGTGAGAGAGTGGAGTTGTGTGTGAGAGAGCGTTGGTTAGTGTGAGAGAGAGTTGGTTAGTGTTGAGAGAGAGTTTGGTTAGTGTGAGAGAGAGTTGGTGTGAAGGGGAGTGAGTTCGTGTGAGTGTGCGTTAGGTGAGAGAGTGATTGGTTAGTGGGAGAGAGTGTTGTTGAGTGTGAGAGAGAGTTGGTGTGACGAGACGTGAGTTAGTGTGAGAGTGAGTTAGTGTGAGAGAGAGTGTGGGTCGGCACGAGTGTGAGAGAGAGGTCTGGTTTAGTGTGAGAGATGAGTTGGTTAGTGTGAGAGAGAGTAGGTTAGTGTGGAGGAGTGTTGGTTAGTGTGAGAGAAGTTGGTTAGAGTCGAGAGAGTTTGTTAGTGTGAGAGAGAGTTGGTTAGTGTGAGCGAGAGTTGGTTAGTGTGAGAGTGGTTAGTGAGATGGGAGAGAGAGTTGGTTAGTGTGAGAGAGAGTTGGTTCGTGTGAGCGATTGGTTAGTGTGAGAGAGCGTTGGTTTAGTGTGCGAGAAGTGAGTTAGTGTGAGAGAGAGTTGGTGTGAGACGAGGTTGGTTAGTGTGCGAGAGAGTTGGTTAGTGTGAGAGAGTGAGTTGGTGTGAGAGGAGTGAGTTTGTGTGGAGAGTGAGTTAGTGTGAGAGCGTGAGTTAGATGTGAGAGAGTGAGTTTTGTGTGAGAGAAGTGAGTTAGTGTGAGAGATGTGAGTTAAGTGTGAGAGCGAGTTGGTTTGTGTGAGAGGTGAGTTGGTTAGTGTGCGACGAGAGTGAGGGTTAGTGTGTTCGGAGGAGAGTGTTGTTAGTGGAGAGAGAGTTGGTTCTTGTTTTTTTTCGTGTGAGAGAGAGTTGGTTAGTGTGAGAGAGGACGTTGGTTATAGTGTGAGTGAGTTGGTTAGTGTGAGAGAGTTGGTTAGTGTGAGAGTGTTGGTTAGTGTGAGAGAGCGTTGGTTTAGTGTGAGGAGAGAGTTGGTTTAGTAGTGAGAGAGTGGGTGTAGTGGAGAGAGAGTTGGTTAGTGTGAGAGAGAGTTGGTTAGTGTGAGAGAGAGTTGGTTAGTGTGAGCGAAGGTGGTTCGGTTAGTGGGAGAGAGAGTTGTTTGTGTGAGCGAGAGTGAGTTATGTGTGTTGAGAGAGGTTGGTGTGAGAGAGTGAGTTAGTGTTGCGAGAGTGAGGTAGTGTGAGGAGTGAGTTAGTGTGAGAGAGTGGAGTTAGTTGTGATGAGAGTGAGTTGTTTTGTGAGAGAGTGAGTTGTGTGAGGACGAGAGTTGGTTAGTGTGAGAGAGTTGGTTTAGATGGTGAGAGAGAGAGTTGGTTAGTGTGAGAGAGTGGTTAGTGTGAGAGAGTAAGTTATAGTGTTGAGAGAGTAAGTTAGTGTGAGAGAGTTGGTTAGTGTGAGAGAGTTGTTAGGGTGAGAGAGTGAAGTTAGTTGAGAGAGTTGAGTTAGTTTTGAGAGAGTGAGTTAGGTGAGAGAGTGAGTTGGTGGTGAGAGAGTGAGTTGGTGTGAGAGAGGTTGGTTCGCGGTGTGAGAGAGAGTTGGTTTGTGTGTGAGCGATGGGTTGGTTAGTGTGAGAGGAGAGTTGGTTAGTTGTGAGAGAGTAATTTAGTTGTGATGCGAGTTGGTAGTGTGAGAGAGTTGGTTGGGTCGAGAGAGTTGTTAGTGTGAGAGGAGTCGAGTTAGTGTGAGAGTGAGTTGGTTTGACGAGAGTTAGTGTTGAGTTAGATCGAGAGGAGGTTCGGATTGTGATTGCGAGTGTAGAAAGAGTGTGAGAGTCTATTGTTTGTCCAAAATAGTAATTAATGTATGTCTATTTAATAAAAACATAAAAAAAACCAAATGGCTATGATGAATGTGGCCCTCTACCACAGTTTAGTATTGTTGAACTCGTAATCTTCAACCTCTGGAATCAATTTATTAACTTTATTTCTATACACTCCTATTGTTTTTGATTATGAACTAGCTGTGGTTGGTCTTTCTGAACAGATTACACCCATTTTAAAAACCTCCACAGCCCCGAGTCCCAGTTTCAAATAGTTTTTTTCCTCACACAGATTTAAACTAAGTAGTTGGTGTATTAGATTGGCCTTTCGTTTAGATTGGAAGACAGTGTTTCAGGGTGTAAATAGCCCAAGTTTTGAGAAGCTATGTTTGCATTGTCCCTCTGGAATAATGTCTGTCGATCGCATTGTCCCTCTGTTAAGTCTGTGTTAGCCATTGTCCTCTGTATAATGTTTGTGAGACCCAGAGGTGACAAACCTCCCTAATAAATGTTTCTCTCTTGTTTTTGTCCTTCCCCAGCACCACCAGCATCAGCGTACTCTTCGTCTCTCCCCCGGCTCCCATTTCAACATTTCATATCTCACCTGTGCCTCTTTTAAGTATTTATTTTTCATTTCATCTGCCAGTCACCTAGCAGAGGCCTAGTTCCCCACACGTCTCAGCTAAACTCCAACAGGCAATCAGACTAATTAACATATGCTAACATAAGGCTAGGACCTCCCTCTTTTATATAGCACACTGTGAATGTTCAGAATGGCGCCGTCCTCCTCAAACACTGCTGGACTCGGAGATCAGATAAACCACAGAGTGGTGGTGGCACTGCTGGCCGCGGCGCAGGCTATGCCCGAAGGCCGGATGTGAGGTCGCCTTCCTCACCGCCTGCCAGGAAGTTTCGGATGGAGAGACAGAGCAAGAGAGCGCCCCCTATCCGCGAGACGGGGACTTCAGCTATGGCGTGTGGGGGGCGGGCTTCCTGCTGAGACGGCACGCAGTCGTCAGCGATGGTTTGATATACTGTTTTGTTTTTTTGCCCCTTCTTTCGGACAGGGGTGAGTGTTTAAAAGTGAACAAGTGGAATCTCGTAGCGCCGTTTGAAGTCTGTAAATCCCTCACTTTATACACTGATAACTCCTCTGCCAGGGTGTGGTGGTGTCCTGTGTGTGTGTCTGCAGGTTCATGTAGGACCATCCAGGCATCCTGCACTCCCCACCACCCATGATCACCCTAACACAGACACACACCGGCAGCCCACCTGAGGCACCCACACAACAGGTGAGACACACACAGGTGAGGACACACACATACACCAAACACACAGCAACGATCTTTGTTTCTGTGACCTCTGACTTTGTTGTCTGTCCCAGAGTGGGAGTGCCGCCTGTATTCCCAGAGTTAACCATCCATTACAGCTCTGCTACTGCTCAGAACACGAGCTAGCACGAAATGAGCACGGCGGGGGCACGGCGAGGGGGGCACGGATGAGGGGCACGGAGAGGGGCACGGAGAGGGGACAGGAGCAGAGGGACTAGCCCGAGTTACACACACGGTCGTGGAGGTGGAGGAGACGGACGAGGAGGCCGAGGAGTCGGACGATGAGGAGGAAGGCGTGTTTTGGGCTGGGAGGAGGCCATTGGGCAGCGATGGAGCGCCAGGTGTCACACACACAGACACATCTACACAGACACACACACACCACTCACACATCACACAGGTCTAACTGCGGTCGCTGTCTCAGGTGTGTTTCTCCATGGATGAGGACCTCTGTCTCGAGACCTGTGAAACCGTTTCTTTGAGTCTGACGGAGGAGAGGAGAGCACAGGAGACGGTACCTCTCTCTCTCGTCGTTAAAGCTGGGGGACTAACTTTCACTCCACAACAACCAACGCTCTGTTTTTTAAACTCATGGGGAAACGGACCACAGTAAAACTCGGTCAGCTGGTGGCGCTAATACTTAACATCAGCAAAGCCAGACAGGATACAAATGTATGGTGTGGTCCGAAGTTTATTAGAATAGCACCACACTGTACAGCGAGGGTAAAAAAACAGAAGGGAGTTCTCCGTCGTAGACATGCTCTGGCTCTGGACCACACCTCCGCTGCGCCTCGACCACGTTCCTTGGGGTTCACATGAAAGTGTAACACAAACAAGAGACGAGAAAAAAAGTATGGCGGACTGACTGAGTGACAAGTCACAGTGTAAGACGTAATGTCCCAGGGCTCTTTATCAGGACTATTCTTGAGTTAGGTACCCAGCTTTTACATTTGTCTTGGTCACACCTGATCTTCCCTTCTCTGGTTTGGGTCCACACCTGATCCTTCCCTTCTCTGTGATTGGTCCACACCTGACGCTTGTCTTTTCTGTGATAGGCTCTCTGAAGTGAAAGAAGCTCCGCCCCCGGAGCGCTTCTGGCGGTGGGGCAGGTGTCGTCATCACGGCAACAGAAACGCCATGGCCCTCGCTCGCTCCGCTGCCTGTGTCTGTGCCCGTGTGGAGCTGCGTGGCAACGGGGTGGGACAGGGGAGGCCAAACAGCGGGAGTGAGGGTGAGGTGGGGAGCGAGTGGGTGTGGGAGGGGGGGGTGGATTGTGAGAGAGAGTTGTTTTTGGTCCTCACCGATGTTCTGTGTTGTGTCCTGATCTCCTTCATGTTTCTCTCCCAGCAGGTGGGCTGTGCTGACTGGGACCATATTGCTGCCAGTATGAAAGCTCTGCTGGGTTACCCAGGAACCCTCGGCGGCAGGATAATGTTTCGGAGCACTGCCCCGACCGCTCGTCTCACCGGGGACCTTCTCCCCTCCAAGCACTGAAGAAACCAGGAACAACCAGTACAGGAAACCAGGAACCAGATCAGGAATCGTCCGGAAACAGGGGGGGGGGAACTAGTCCAGGACCAGTACCTCGCTTGCCACACAGGGAGTCTCTTCCAAACAGACCAGACCACCTCTAATTGTAACCAGAAACCAAAAACCCCTCAGCTATTCTTATATTTGGACAATTCAAAGTTGTTTTTCTGAAGGTCCTGATCGAACTATTGATCTATCATTTCCTTTTGATCATTTCCTCTGGTCCTCTCTCAGCTCTCTTCTCCTCTGGTCTCCGGTTCTCAGTCTATTTCGGTATCTGCTGGTCTGGTCTTTGGTTTTATCCCTTAGTTTTTATCACATGGGTGTGCCGTCATATCATTTTCAGGCGAATCAGGGAATTTTTTTAGTTTATCTGTTTTTAAAAGGACGTTTGACGCTTGAATGATTTTGTCTGTCTTTGTAAAAATTATTGAACCGGATTGACCCCTGGTAGGCACAAGAGCAAATACTAACCTCAACGGACACAGGACCTTAACCTGGACCTGGACCAGAACAGGATTATATCACAAAATGTTTTGTGGTGAAGCTGGCGTGATAATTAATAGTACTAGTACTAGTACTTAATTACTACTTTACCTTCCTTCCAGCCACAATGTACCAGGCCCTATGCTCCTACTGCTGTTATGGTACTAGTTACGGACTAGAGCAGACTGAGAATAACACATGGAGTAGTTTTTAGCTAGTTTTCAAACTTATATCAGAAACCTTCTATCTCTGCTCTGTTATAAGCTCTTTACAATCGTCCCTCAGTTTGACATCACTCAGCAGTTCTTTACAAACCTCCTGTTCACACTACCATACACTGGGTGGAGCTGTTCACTAACACAGTTTATTTTCAACTCCAAAGTAATGTTTATATAGTTTTTTCATTACGGCGTTTTAGCACAGACTGTATCACAGAAGTGTGACATCACAGTGTGTAACATCACCAAGTATTTAGCCTTAATGCGGAGAAGGTGGATTGGATAAAAAGCTAGCTGGAGTAAAGTTTCTTTGTGTGCATTTGTTCTATGGGCTTTGCTGTGCTCAGTAACGGAGACAGATTTGTTGCTAAGACGGGTAGTGGTGTTGTTAAGGGAAGACTGGAGTTTCCTTATATGGCTCAAAGACCATATCCATAAAAACACCAATGATCACTGAGAGAAGTTAAATCAATAGGAGCAGATAGAGGTACAAACTTCACCATGACCTTCCCTATTGGTCTTATTTAGCGAGAGGGTTAGCATTGTCCATCTGTATACAGTCCTATGTTGCATTGTCCATTCTACAGACAATCTATATTAAATTATACTTTGGTCCATTTGTATTCTCTGGTTTTAACTTTTGAACCAGTGACATGCTTTGCGCCTCAACTTTGCCAACTCAGCGGAAAGCCTGCTGCCACTCCCTCATGTGTTGGACTTTTACTACAGAACGAGGAGCTGAGAATGAGGTCATTATTTAGTTTTGTGTTTTCTGGCTCCAAAAAGTGAAACCCTGTCGAATGTTGAAGGGGTAGTATGGAGGAAACGGATGTTCAAGTTCGAGAATAAGTTGCAATAAAAGAAGAATTATTACATGTTGTTCTATAATTAATACTCTCTGGTCTCGCTTTGTCTTCTGGTTTCTCTCTGGCGTCGCCTCCTGTCTCTGGCGGGCCTTCTTCTCTCTCTGTTCTCTCTCTGGTGGGGGGTTGCTTGGTCTTGTAAGTTAGCATTTAAGTCATGTTTTTTTATTGTAGCGCTTTACAATTGTGGACGTGATCAGGAGGCGCATTGTCAGATCTTTAGTACTTGTTTTTAGTGGGTGGGGAATACCGGAGCACTGGATGGAACCTACAAGAAACTCCATCCAGAAAGGGCCCTGTGCTGTCCGGGATGCGTACGCAGGACCCTTCGGAGTGCTATATCCGTGGGCTCTCTTACTCTCTTGTCTCTGATAACACCATGAGTAACAAAAAATTTTTTTATTAAAATAGTCCAGGGTTTTCCCGCTGACTTAGATAATGTTGATGCTCTGAGTCCGAAAAATTACTTGGTTTTGCTCAATCAGTACAGGATTTTTTTTTGGCATACAGGAAATATTTTTTTTATTCAATTATGCGGTAAAAAACTAATTTCTGCGGATCATCAGTGTGGAACCCTTGATCGGTTTTTTCCGTTTTCTCCAAGCAATAATAGTCATCGTATTCAAGAGTCATTCAGTTTTTTTTCACTCCATCAATTTGATAAGCCAGAATTTCATAAATAACGAGACGTACATAATCCGTTACACTATGGCTGTATCTCCAAAAGTTGACCTGATAGAGCAAAATGGCATGATGATATTTCCGGGATCAGAACACCAACATTCAGTCTAAAGCAGTTGAGAAACCTTGACCATTTTTTGGTGGTCAACTTGTGTAATTCTCATCTTTATTTTATTCTAAACTGGACCTAAACTTCAAAAGGAAACGTAATTCGATGTATTAATGCATTTATTAAGATTTACAAAAGTACAGATTGTCATCCAACAACCTGTCGTTATAAAGGAGAAGAAATATACTTAATTTAATATGTGGTTTGATCAGAGACGGTGGGTCCCAGAGGAGACAAGCGCCCTCTGATGGGCATTAAAGCGAGTTTACAAGTGTGTAAACAGTAAAACCGTCACACACAGTTCCACTTTCCCAATCCTCAATTTACAGTTTCGTTGCAACATGCCAAAACATAAGCGAAGAGAGATGACACCTGAGATGCACACAAGTCTTGACCGCAAGTCCAGTCCATGCCCTGGAGTCCAAGGTCAAGGTCAAATTCATTGCCTAACACGTTAAAATTATGGCCATTCAATGTAAAATGGATTCAAATTATATTGAATTCATTTGTCATCGTTTGTTAGAGCGCATTTTTTTTAGCCTTAAACATTCCGCCGAGCCATACCAGGCTGGGACTGGGCCCAAAAAACCACCTGGATTTTTGCTCCTCAACGGGCCCAGCCAGTTTGTTGTCACTTTTTTTTTAACGTTTATTTTACGTTATGCAGAAGCCACACACTGTAGAGGATGTATGCAGATTTAACAATTAAAATAAAAATGCAATTGTCTTCTACGTTACAAAGAGAGTCACAAACATGTCACAACTACTACTGTTTGTTAGTAGGGATGAGAATGGGAAAAAATATTAAAAAAAAAAAGTCTGAAAAAAGCCATCATGTCAGCCAAATGACTGTCTATAATTCGGTTAGTTTTTCACAGCATTTTACTATGGCACACCCAACATGAGCTGTTACTGCGAGGAAAAATTACGTTCCCCTAGTTTAGAAAGGAGACTCGGAGACATGGGCACGGTCAGGAGGCGCTATTCATCCAGCTCTGTTTACTGCAGAGAGTGTTAAAGACACGCACACAACAATAAGAGATGGTGTCCTGTGCGCGTGTATGGTCCTGAGGGACATTGTTATGACCCCGGTGCGCGCTGCCGCGTTTCACAGAGCGGTCTCAGCTCAGACACAACGCGTCCATTCGCACAGTCACGACCCCGCCGATCACGGCCACAGAGAGCGCACAGCCATAGAGAAGCGACCGTAAGGAACAACCGCCTTAGAAGAGGCACCGCCATTGAGGAGGCGCACGCCATAGAACAAGCACCCTTTCCAGCCTGTGAAATGGATGGATCTGGTGCGTCAGGATCGCATGTACACAAGTCCTAAAAAACAACGAGTCCGAGTCAGTCCGAGTCTTTAGGGGACGGTCGGTCGAGTCGCAAGTCTCTAAAAATAGCGACTTAGTCCCAGGGATCGGAGTCCCCATCTTGGGTGACACCAGGAGTCATGCTACACGTGTGTTACTTTTCTTATAGAACCACTGGATGTTTTACAAGATGCTAATGCTAATACAGATGGATTTAATGCAAACACCGACTTAATACAGATGAATAATGCTCACACAGACTTAATACAGATGGGGATACTGCTAACAAGACTTAATACAGTAGGCGAATGCTAACACAGGACTTAATACAGAGGATATGCTAAACAGACTGTTTACAGTGTAATGCTAATACATGCTATTGCTAACACAGAAGTGTAGTACACAGATGGACAATTCTAAACCGGCTAGCTCAATAACGCTCAATAATTATAATAAACTTGAGCACGTTGATTCAGCTGTGTATGAATTCTAGGCAGTGAAGTGCTGACTCACAGAACGAGGCTGCCGTTCTCTAGCTCTACAGCGCTGCGAAACAGTAGGGCTTTGATTTCAAAATTTGAATATATTTTAAATTAAATTTTATTCATGGAATATTATATATATATTAATTCTATATAGTTATATATTATATTATATATTCATGTATGGCCTACATGGGAACGCCGATATTACCAAGTGGGGGATAGTGAACAGAAACAATCCGGTGCAGAGTATGGGCTGGAAACCCAAGGTCTAGTGGGAAACTCCTCCAAGGTGGTGGAGAATGAGCGTGCGAAGATCTGTGGGACTTCAGATACAGATCCGACCGAATGTTAATGCAAAACCAACCTGACATTGTGGTGGTAGGACAGAAGGGCCAGGGACTGCCGTGGTGGTGGGACCAAGGGCAGAGGACCGCCGTGGGTCGTGGACAAGGGCAGAGGACGCCTGTGGTGTGGACAAGGGCAGAGGACTGCCGTGGTGGTGGGACGTGGCAATTCAGCGATGGTTACATCCGGAAAAAGAAAACAGGAAAAGCTTGAGAAATTACCAAGGTCTCAGAGAGGTGCGAGAGGGCTGGAGGGTAGGTGGACAGTAGTGCCCGTGGTGATCGGTTTGCACTCGGTGGGCAGTGACCACGAAGCTAGAATTGGGTTACAGCGGATCCCCGGAACAACCTCGGACATCTGGGTCCGGAAATGTGCAGTGCTAGGAACGCATAGATACTGCGCTGAACCCTCAAGCTCCCAGGCCTCTGTAGAGGACGAGCTTGTAGAGAGGGATAACCGGCCCG